ATATTTTCTTTTATTAATTATATTATTATCATTGCTCCTTATATAACTAAATATTTATGTTCCACTGAACACAATCGTTTTTGAGAGGCTAGCAGTCGCTGATCTAGCCAAATTTCACCGCTTTTCATGAAATCCGAAAGCTCATTACAATCTGCGTAATCAGCCCACAACTGGTCCATATTTTAAGCCAGATAGATCTATTTCTTTCAAGCCAACTCTAATATTATCCTTCCACCTACAGCTAGACCTCCGAAGTTCTCCCTTTATTCCAAGATTTCCGACAAAATTCTGTATGTATTTCTTTATCTCTCACACCTTCTCACAGGTTCTAGATCGGATGATTTGATTTACTGGCACTCTGGTTACAAGTTCTCTTAATCACACATAAAGCTACATACTTTAAGTCCACCGATGCAAGCACACAAGGATTTTCTGTCTTCACTAGTCGTCTCCTGGCAAAGTATCTCAACACAGAAACTATCACTTCAGATCACTATGAAATGTTCTTGCCATTTCTTGTTCAATTAGCCTAGAACCTAGAAACTCAACTAAAACTCCGTCCTCCAGTTTCTGTTCGCTAGCTTGGTTCTGCCGCTGCTTAGGAATTCTGCTCATTTATATTGACGCAGCACGGAAACGCGTAATAGAAAATACATATCACTTGACTGCTACCTAGCCAGTCCTTTGGTGCGTTAGCTGGACGTACAGAAACACATCACGTGACCGCACCCTCTGTTGGGTGAAGTCACCGAGGACACAAAGAAAGCACTGCTCCAGTATTTTTGGTCGCGTGTGTTTTGCGGGCGTTGTCTAGCAATGGATTTGCATGTCACAATATTTAGCGACGCACAGAATTATGAAGCTACTTATTATGAAATCCTCAAGCTTCTTGCTACTGGCCTCCATCCCAGAACCTCTAGCCACACACCTTCAATCTGCATTCCTTCCTTAAGTAGAGAGACAAAGTTTTACGCCCAGGCAAGGCTCCAGTCGATGAGATAGGTTTTAGTAGGAGAAGGGATGCTGAAATATTCATAATTCAATGGTACTAGGGATTTCTCGATTTTGAGCTCCTCTTGATGTCTTCATGAATGTAATCTTTATTTGTTACTGTCATTGCCAATTATTTGAAATTATCACAGTTTCTATGTTACGGTGTTTCCGTGAAAGATAGTCTGAATAGGACCAAACAATGTTTTGACCCATTTTAAACACTTCTAGTTAGTCTAATTAAATTCATGGGAATGTCAAATTCAGTAAATAAATTGTACAATGCTTCTGTCCTAAGTAAATTCCAAGCTTTCTTTAAGTGTATAAACAACAGATGTACGATGTACTGTGGCGCTGTACCCCCCATTTTCTTCTTTCATTATCAGGCCAGTGCAGAATATCTGATTGGATTGATCTATAAGTCAAATCTGGCGCTGATTATTCCAGTAATTTCGTCTAAGTATGAAGCTAAACTCGAGAAAATAATTTAATTTGCAGGGTCAGTCTTGATTGTGTTAATTTCTTGTCGTTCTCGTAGACGTATGGTGTGCTACTACTTCACTTTGTATAAGTGTTATTTCTACGACGTATTTCGACCATACAAGGTCACCATAAAATAGATACTTTTATGTAATTGCTGCACTCTATTGCTCTTTCTACTATATTATTCTAAAACTTGTTTAAAATTAGTTCCAGTTATTAATGAAAGGTTCCTTTAATTTATCGTTCTAAGTTGTAATTCATAAAACACAACGAAGGGTGCCATCTTCTTGGAAGTGAGGCTGTGTAGTCTGGCAGCTCATTTCCCAGAAGTTACTAGGAGCCCGAAGCTTCAATAACGAGTATTCTTTTATTGCTTTTTCATTTACAATTTGTACAAAAATTTCTTCTCTTCCTTTCACATTATTCCTCTGTTTTGTCTTTTGTCTTCTTTTCCATATACTTCTTCTTCTTAATTATTATTAATCTTACTGTTTCTCTTATTTTTATTGTCTTCATTTTTCTTCTCTGTCATCTTCTTTATTTAACTTCCGCTTACTATTCTTCCTCGTCAGGTTTTCTCCGTTTTGTTTTTCTTCTCCTCAACTTCATCCTCTGCGAGATGGCACTTTGTGATCTGCTGAGTTCCAGTGTAACGCGATATAAGTAACGTCCTGTTCTACGCAATTACGCATTCCCTGTCTGCAAGATGTTCACCCAGCCGAGAATATTCTCTAGTAAAAACACGCGTAACTCCGCATTATGTTACTGCAGTAACCTTTCCATTGCAGCCTGGCAACGGTGGGATCGTAATGGTGAACTTCTATTCTGGATTTGTCAACTGCAAGAGCGCAGCTGAAGCAACTCTGGAAGACGTTGTCGGTATGTACACTGAATTAGTTCCCACGAAGGAAAGTCTTCCTAAAGCGGTTTAAAATTAATCAGTTGATTAAAATATCCTCTGTTACAAAATTTAACACAATCATTTGAAAATTCGTCTAAATCAATGCCAGTTAATACCATTATTACCGTTCTTCCCAGCGGGTATACTTTTGCCACGCGCTAAGAAGAACTTCCTCACCTCTCTTCTTTTCTTCTCATATGTTGATTGGGCAACAAAAAGCTCAAATTGTGGTTACTTACAATAATTAAATTTAAAGTTAGGAAAGAGAGGTAAGTTTATGTGGGACTAGCTAGGGTGGTGCTAGGGCTGAGTTCTTCCTCAGGGTGGATGGCGGGGCCTCGGCTTAAGTTTGGGGAAGTTATGAACTCAGTGCTACACACTCAGCACTTAAACGCTGGTAATATTTATATGTATGATTTATAGGCTTGGTTCGAACACACATATAATACACTTTGCTATAAATACTTCTACTCCCTTAGCAAGGTTACGTGAGCTGTTATGTATAATAGTTTACCCGACCACCTGAACTTGTGTTAATTTAAACTTTCCAAATATGAACCGCAAGGATGGCAGTGGCAGTGGCAGTGGCAGTGGCAGTGGCAGTGGCAGTGGCAGTGGCAGTGGCAGTGGCAGTGGCAGTGGCAGTGGCAGACCACTGAACTCCGAGAGTGATCTCTCTGAAACCCTGAGGTCCTCTGTCCATCAGTTCCTCTGATATGGCACACCCATAACCTGTACTGATTGGGTATATTTGAAATTTGGGAGTTTACTAAAATTTCTTAATCTCCAGTCAGCTAAATGCAGTATAGAAATTTGGTCCTTAAAGTTCTAAAGTCGCTTTTGACAGCTCGCTGATGGATACTGCTCTTAGCGTGGATATCCAGCACGCCCCCTTTAAGTTTACGACGTACCGAAAATGTCACACGTCATATTCTCAAAGTTAGCAGAAGTTTCCAGGAAAAAGCAACGGGGATTCTTCCTGTGGAACAGCAAGATTGGGAATAGGTCATTTCCTGTGAGCAAGGATGTGACTATGTCCCATTGTCTTTGCCTATTATATTTACTGGTAAATAAACTCAGTACTAATAATTCTAATTATCCCTAAATCTATGGGTGGGAGCACGCGGTAGCGTAATTGGTCGAAGTACTATGCTAAAAGCCGGAAGGTAGCAGGTTCGAATCTAGATGAGGTGGCTTTTTCAATTTACCCAATCATTTCAGCAGCACTACGGCCCTGGGGTCGACTCAGCCTCTAACAGAAATGAATACCAGGAATATTCCTGGAGGTATAAGGCGGCCGACTCGTAAGCCTGACAACTTTACCGCCATCTGTGAACCGACTTTCTAGCGAAAATGTGGGAGCCTCGACGTCTCACAACCCTATGGGCCTTCACGACTTGTTACAAGGCTAGCTTTACCTTTACCTTTAGCCTAAATCTAGGACACGGCATCGATGCGGTTACGCTATTTATTATTGAAATCAGCCAATTAATTACAAATAATTGGAGGATAGACGCGCTGAGACACGAACATGATCCTTAAACCTGGTTTTCTTTACAAATACGAAAGCGTGCTGAAAGTCGCAAGGTGACGGAATACAAAATCTCAAATAAACTGGTTAGAAAAACATGTACCCCATTGACATATTCTATATCTTTATTTTTGTGGTATTTCCTACAGATGAGTTCTTCACATGTGGTTTCTAACCAAAATTTTGTGGAGATTTCTGGTTTATTTCGAGCGTTATTACATGCTCGTTGATTGACTCATCCTGACAACATGCAGTGAAGAATATAAATCAAAATGAAGTTCCGTCTTACGCAGGTTATATGAGGTTTGAGGTATTCACTGCAGTCAAGGTTCATTTAGTGTTATGGACTATGACGCCATATAGTCTGATAGGTAGTTATCGACATTTCGGAGGGAAGTAAAGCCTCCAACTTCACGGTGGAATGAATATAGAGGCATTTCATTTCTCTGAAACGGTCTATAACGCTTTCTGAGTAAAGAGAATCGGAAATTGGACATTTAAATACGCATGTTATATTTCCGGAGGAAACGAGTTCCTATTTCTATCCCTTGAGTTCCCCGGGTTGCCGACTTCGGAAGAAGTCTGAAGAAGACTTAAGAAAGTCCACGGCAAGAATATGTAACAAATTCCAGAATAATCCATAATTACTGACGTTTCTTCATTGGTAATTACTTCCTCTTATTTTTCTTCGCTCTATACGAATCAGACCTTCCGACATGACAACACAACAGGAAAACAGAGGAGCAGATCCACATCCTCTGCGGGATTCGAAATCTAGCTTCCAATGTTCGAGTGATACAAGAACATAACGTACTACAGATCAATCGAGTCTAGCATGAGATGTATTCTTTTTAAGTACCAGAGGGTACGCGGTAGCGCAGTCGGTTGAGGCACTATGCTAAAAGGCAGACGGTAGCGGGTTCGATTCCTGAGGACAATGGAGTTTTTCAGCTGACCTAAACCTTCTAGCCGCACTATGGCCCTGGGGCTACTCAGCCTCTAACAGGAATGAGTACCAGGCATCATCCCGTGGGTAAAGGGCGTCCGGGGCGTAAGGCTTGACAACCTTACCGCCATCTGTGGACCTACTGCACAGAAAATGTGTGGGCCTTGACGTCTCACAACTCTATGGGCCTCCGAGGCCTGTTACAGGGATGGAAAGGTTCAGTTTTATACATAAACCTCGTAGCTCTTTCTAAATGCGTAGTGCTTATCGTTTCACTTAAATGTGAAAGCGAAGCATAAAGTTTCACAGGACTAGAATTTCACTGAGTACTTGTGTAGGTACTTGATGGTTCTGTTTGCTTCCGGGGAGAAATAATTATAACAATTCTTTGATAAACCGAATGGAAAGCAAGCCAAGTCATACAACTGACATTACAAAATTAATTGCTAACAGAACAAAATATCGCATAATAATAGCAAATTTGAGTACATTGATGATTGTATCGAACAAGCATTACAGGATAATGTTATTTCTAACAACAAAGAACCTTAGCAAAAATTGTCCCAAAGCCAACTGCTACTTTAACTGTATATGGATGAACATAGCCTCTTAAGGATTTGCTTATGTCTACCGTTTTCCTTCACGATTATTAATATAAATATTATCCCTTGAAATTTTCATGAAAATTGGTATGAACTTCATGCCATGGGGTCTCCCATAATCTGCATTTATTTTAGTTTTCTGTCATCAGCAATACCAAAGTCAGGTGATTTGGAAAGTTACCAGAAGATAAGATGGTGCCATTGAATGTACCATATTAGCCCAAATATAAGGCGAAATTCCTGTCCAAAAGCTATTTCTTGGAAAAGAGGGGTCACTTTATTTTCGTGACCTTCAGAATAAATTTGTAAATGATAAGTTTTAATTACTAATTCTAATGTTGTTTGTGAAACTATCTAGAATTACATTGAAGATATTAATTTTTAAATTTATTTTCCTTAATATTTACTTTTTACTTATTTTTGTTTACAAAACTTAGAACTAAATAGCAATCAGTGTTGTCAAAAAAAATATTTTTATGGTTTTCACTTTAAAAAATAAGGGATCGCCTTATATTCGTGCATGTGCGGTAGTTGTTTAAAATACTGTACAATGAAAGATTTTTAAAACGCTTGATTGCATATTCTGTTTCAGCACACATTAACCATATCCGCACTGTAGCTGGAGTGGACCATGTGGGGATTGGTAGCGACTATGACGGTGTAGACAAGTAAGTTTGCCTGCAAAAATCTTAATATTCATTACGGGACATAGTAATTCCGAAAGCGAGCAGTTGTAAATACTTGGGAATAATTTTACGCAGCGATTTAAGTTGGGCTGATCAAGTTAATTGCACGATGAAAAAAAAAACCTGGAAGGCGCTTCGTTTTACGAGTCATCTTAAAAAAGGAAATAGTAACACTGAAAGTTTACCCTACCATGACTTCTACGTCCGCTTCTTGAATATGGGGCGGCGTGCTGGGATTCTTACAGGAAGGGACCGATAAATGCGCTAGACCGGGTCCAAAACATGGCGGCTAAATTTGCACATCATAGAAATGATCCAAATTGGGAAAACTTGACAGAACGCAGAAAGATAGCTCGCATATTTGCTCTCTTCAAAGCGTACGCGGGAGAAGGGTCTTGGAAGGCTATAAGCGATAGATTACAAAGACTAGGTTATCTGAGCAGAGGCGATCATGAGAGGAAAATTGGGAGCAGAAAGCAAAAGAGAGATATCGGAAAATATTCCTTTGTAAATAGGATCATCCAGCTCGGGAACTGCAACCTGCAGATGCTTTAGGGACTCTCTCCAGTAAACCAAGTAATTGTAGGAAAAGGGTTAGGAAAGTGATAAATAAGGCAAAGTGAAAGTGTGGAAGAAATCATAAAAAATGCAGTGAAGTGAAGTGAATTGGAATTGAAGTGGATGTGAAGTAAAGTGAATTGTGATGAGGATGTGAAGGGTACGTACTAACTGTAGTGAAGTGGACTGGAGGGAGGTCATGATGAAATGTGAGTGCGTCAGTTCATAACATTGCGTATTTCAGTACTGTTACTGTTTAGTGTACAGTATTCTTATTTTTATTAATATTAATCTATATAACTGCAACTATAATTGTATTTGTTGTAGTTGTAATTGTATTTGCATTGTATTCATTGTGCGTAGTGTGTACTTCATTGTTTGTGTAGTTTCGTGTGCTGTGTCTTTTTTTGGGGAGCGGTGTGTTATTTTATGTGATGTGTATTGTGGGTTGCTTCTTATTTTAGTCCCACTGTCACCGGATAAAAACATTTGCAGTTAAAATAATAACTCGAAGCAAAGCCCCTAGTTTAGCAAGAGCTTCAAGTAAGTGTGAACTGACGCCTTTCAGTCAGGGCAGGACAGCTAACTCCGTTTCAGAATTTCACAGCTACTTGTGTCGTGTGTGTTTCGCAGAGTGCCAGCCGGCCTCGAAGACGTGTCTAAGTACCCAGATTTGTTCGACCGTCTTGCAGACAGCCGTCCGGGGGAGCCCACTTGGGGTACAGAGGACCTCGAGAAACTTGCAGGCCTCAACCTCATAAGAGTTCTAGAGGAAGTCGAGAAGGTCAGTTACTCATAGAGTCCTTGGATCCCTTCTTATTTACTGACTTACATTACAAACCGTTCCTAATCTCCCTACACATCTACTTCCCGCCTACATTTGTACCACCTACTTACTTCCTTATTCAGGCCGCGCCATAGCTCAAGCGGTAAGTCGCTGGCTTCCCACCGCGGCGGCCCGGGTTCGATCCCGGGGTCTGGTCAAGTGGGATTTGTGGTAGACAAAGTGGCACTGAGGCGAGTTTTTTTCAAGTACTTCGGTTTCCCCTGCCAATCTTCATTCCACCAAATTCTCCATCAATATAATCATCCGGGGCAGGTACAATAGGCGAATCAGTGGCCGCCGTGCCGAGTGGACCCAGCTGGACTCCATCCCCCATTAAGCGAATTAAAAAAAAAAAAAGAATATCAGCAGTGAATCACTGAAAGCCCAAAATCAGCAAATATTATTTGACAGAAAAATCAACAGATTATAGACATTATGCTGCATAGTTATAAATTGGTATTTTTTCCCTGGTCTATAGTTAAATTTTCACCGCATCGAAATTTGCTCCTATGCAAAAACACTGCGTTATTAATGCGCGTAGGATACGCACTTTACGTCAGAACTAGATGGACAGCTTCACGTTCTGACCGTTTCTTTCTTCAGATAAAAATCTGAAGGAAGAAATTTACCGTTTACAATCTGTTTTCCGGACGAAATTCATGATGGATAATAATTTTAACATAAAAAAATGCAGTCAACATTATTTTCACCCTCGATTTTTGCATTCTCACTTTCTGAGTTTCTATGCACCTTTTATGTCATTGAAACACACGTGTTCTCGATAATCGTTCTTCACTGTACATATTTTTCAACCTTTAAAACCTTTCAGCAGCTTCAGTAACTTCATTCCTGCACTTTGTTCATTTTGAAGCCTTCGACACGACGAAAAAACTAAATTCACCAAAACAAATGTAATCCTCATAGGCATCAACCAAACAAGTAGAAACTTGCATATCTTATAAATATACTTTCTTGGTTCATTCTCGACAGACAGAATTAGTAGTGTTCCTCTAATAGCGTCAGTCAGGGAACTTTATTGTCACACCGTGTACTTCTAAGTTTGCTGTTGCTGTTCCTAATTGATCTCTCTTTCTGCACCAAATATTCATTTCAGTGCAAGTGGAGTGTCAACATTCCACCATTCCTTCATACTTGCTTATCACCACGACCCTGAGGTCCGCGACCAGGCAATATCTAATCAGCACTTAAGGACTGTATTCCTTCTCAGCAAACAGATATTATTTTCGTGTCTCACAGGAAACACGTTATGCCTCCGCAGCGAAGATCAATTGATCAGTGTTGTTTAGGAAAAAATCGCTTATCACGAGAATCATATGAAAATACATTAATAACTCTGGACAGAATGCAGAGTTCTGTAGTGTATATGAACCATTGAGCTTTAAAGAATTAAGTTGGAGGCTTCATCTATGTCCCATCACTTTGTTGGGCCACAGAATAAGGAAGTTTTCATTTTATATATGTGCGAAACAACAATATATAAAAAATAAAGCTATCCCTGTACCAGGCCGTGAAGGCCCATAGGGTTGTGAGACGTTGAGGGTACCACATTATCTAGACAATCGGATCAGAGATGGCGGTAAGGTTGTCAGCCTTACGCGCCGGCCGCGCTTTACTCCCCAGGAAAATTATTTAATTAATTCCTGGTACTCATTTCTGTTAGAGGCTGATTCAACCCCAGGGCCATAGTGCGGACGGAAGGATTAGGTACACTGAAAAAATTCAATGACCTCATAGGGACTTGAACACGCGACCTTCCATATTTCGTTACAAAATTGTTTACAACTTTCGTTAGTTTCAGAAAAACAAAATGTCTTACCTAGAGCAGTGGTTCTCAACCCTTGTGAAGCCGCGGCCCGGCGGTTGAGAAACATTGATCTAGAGAATAAAAAAAAAANCAATTTCTGAAACTTCATAGCTTCTGCAGTTAAAATCGTGCATTGATACATCAGTTCAGCATATCGTAACAATTACTTAATGTCTAGGTTCGAGACCAGCTGGCAGCCGAAGGTGTGGAACCATATGAGGATCTCATGCCCAGATCTGATCTCGGCAATAATGATGGCTGCATAACCGACTCATTTTCTTTCTTGAAGTCGCCGCAAGTGGGTATCGATTTCGGCCAGTTGACGCCTCGCCGTTTTTCTCATGGCATTTGTGATTGAAGTTCAGTACCAAAATTATTAAAATAAAATATGAAGTCTATGGTATGTGTTTGAAAAGCATCATTGATCAACAAAGTTATATGTAAGTTTATTATAACATATTTCAATACAATCTGTAAAATATGTTATGGGATGTACCGGAATATACAGAATATTTCATTTACGGCCTTACTGAAATTACACTTTATGTTTTGTTCGATGCAACTAAAAATAAATCCTACGGACCAACTTTGCCCAGAGCTCCCTCATGTCGGCTGTCACTAAACTCTGATTAATAGTTCATTATATAGCACAGTTTAATCTGTGATCTTCTGTATGTTATGGATCAATATGACTAGAAATTTGAATTACTTATCCAGCTGGAAAAATGCTGGTAAGTTACTGAGTCACAAGGAGACGGACAGACAAAAAACCAAGACATGATATCCACATATTATATTCTTTTACTTTGTAAAGCACACCTGAGAAGTAATGAACTACGACTTCTGCTGCACTCTCTCGACCATACCAACTTGTCCCATCCCACCAGTTTGGGTTTAGCAGTAAGGACTCAACTATTGACCAAATGCACAGAATAACCGATGTCATAGAAAAATCTCTTGGAAATAAAAAAGTATGCTCGACAATATTTCTGGACATAACACAAGTATTTGATCGAGTATGGCACGACGGCCTGATGCATAAACTAAAATCGATTCTTCCTGATTCGTACTATCAGCTCCTCAAATCATACCTAAAGGGGCGAAAATTTCGCATCAAACACGAAGATACGTACCCGGTGTTCCCCAGGGAAGCGTTCTGGGACCGGTCCTCTATTTACTTCATATCAATGACGCACCACAAACGCCGAACTGCACGACTGCCACATTTGCGGACGACACCGCAGCGATGGCGACAGGAAACACAATCGAGGACTCAACAACAAAACTGCAACGAGCAGCTGATAATATCGCCACCTGGACACGTAAATGGCGTATCAAGCTCAATGAAACCAAATCTACGTACATCGACTTCGCCAACCAAAAGATTAATCAGCGATCAATCTCACTAAATGGAGTAAGAATACCGCCTGCCAACACAGCAAAGTACCTCGGAATTACACTTGACGCCAAACTCCGATGGAAGGAGCATATTAAGAAGAAGCAAGAGGAACTGCAAATCAAATTTCGAAAAATGTACTGGCTGACCGGACGTCGATCAGAACTGTCAATGTACAAGCTGCTCCTGTATAAACAAAGGCTGCGCCCAGTCTGGACATATGGCGTCCAACTATGGGGACGTGCGAAAAAATGCAACATCGAAGTAATCCAACGATACCAGAACAAAGTACTAAGACGCATAGCAGATGCGCCCTGGTATGTACGCAACAGGGACCTCCATCGAGACCTCGGTGTCGAAACAGTCGCATCCATTATTGCAAGATACGCCACGACTTCGACACCACGTCAATGAAGAAGCGTCCAGGCCCCTAAATGTGGGAAACCTAACCAGGCGACTCAAACGGACCAAACCTCACGAACTAGCCAAGCAGCCCGACAGCTAAGGGATCCCCTGGGCGAACTTAACTTCACATAATCTTAG